AAAAAACTGGTCAAAACAGTATGTATCCATCCCGAATAACTGTTATCTGCTTGGTGGGTATGATTGACTTAAATTGAAAGCAGGTCTTCACATCCCCCAGGTACATACATACAGAGTGACTGCAACATCAAAAGGGGATGTAATCATGATCTATTAATACTGACATAGCAATATCCAACAAACCTGCATATGACAAAATAATTTGTTTCTCAGCAACTATCACCACGTGATTGAAACTAACAAGACCTATTTGTTGGGAACGTTTGTAATAAATATTTTTCAAAAGCAAATTGGTTAAATTTACAGGGTGGCAAATTATGCAAATTATTCATGAGATTACTCAGTATGTGTGAAATGTAACATAATTACACATTCTATTTTAGGAAATAAAAACAATTTGTACATTTATGATGTAACATGTCTCCAACACTTGTATTCTATAGAATATTATTCAATTTGAAGAACTTAAAAAATAATTTTACAGATATATACATACATGCTAAGTAATCAGGAACAATATTACCAGATTTGTAATAATTTTCATTTTAGATTATTTTTCCTACTATATATGTAATACAATCCATGATATCTATAAAGCATATAGAACTTCCATCAAATGATGTAGAGATCATAGTGTCTGACACCAAGAACAGTCAATACAACACACTTGTATATATAAATACCAGTACATAACCTCATATTATCTACTTGAATATAAACAAAATCAATGAGATATAATGACTGATAATCAAGTAGGCAACTGAAAATTGTTTTTTTATTGAACAAAGAATTAATAGTCTTTAAATTATCATGAAACACTTTTCTTGGGGATCAGGGGTATGTGCGTTTTAATTTTATTTTATTATATGATCGCAGAATTCCTCTATTAGAATTCTAATCTAGACTATTAATTGTGACTTAATTATTATGGATTATGACCAATTGTGCAACAAGTATAGAAAGTATGTAATTTTATGTATTGGTGTTATTTTTTTTTTACATCTATGATAAATATATTACTTTAGGATTCACTTTAATATAACAACCACATGAATTATCTTGATATTTTTTTTTACCTGCAAATTAAGACATGTCAGTGTGTGGTGAAAGTGTGAACTACTCTATTACTAGGTCATCTTTTGTCACTTTGATGAATGTCTGTCATTGCTTGTCTGCAGACAAGGTAAAAAACTCAAGAGTGTTATCCAAAATAAGAAAACATGCATAGAAAACAAACACAATATTAGACATTACCTGAGGGCTGCTACCAGCTGTGTTCAACAATTCGCTTGAACTTGACAGATCACTGTGACCTTGTGAACCCACGGAATTTACCTCTCGGTCGTCGTAGTCTCGATCTGGTAGCAGTGTACGCTGCGTAGGTACTTCATTCACGTTTTCTAAACTTGGAGTGAGTCCACTTCCACCGTTACTAGTAAAACAAGGTGGTGGGGAGAGTTCCTCCATGTATTTAGCCGGGACATAAACTGGTTTTTGGTCTCCAACACCATCTTGCTGGACGTACCACCAGTCTTTCCCAGCTTTCTTAATTAGTGTGAAATTATCACCTTCTCGAAAAGACACCGTCGTCCCCGAAGCATCTTTATATGTATATGGGAATTTTGCTCTCAGGCGAGTACCCTTGCCAGTATCGGCCGCCATCGTACGGTGATTTGACGAGACGTCAACAATTGTTAAAATCAAGTATCGCGCCTTATCGGCAGCAACACCGAGATTTTTACACTTCAAAGCGAAGACAGCATACCATGATCCTTTGGATAAGTTAACATTATGTACTTGTCAACGTCAATGTCTAACAGGGCATGTCGTTTCAAATATATCGTATCCCATGTAACACGAAGGTCGCGTAAACCGGCGTACAGCCAACAGCAGAGAAAAAGATACAACATGTACAACTTCTGAGTGTTCTCTGAAGTTGTAGCGAAATGCGATCAAATCTGCGGGTAATTCCAACTTCTTGTTAATAAAACCAGGTCTATTTACCCTGTGCTATATGCACACAGTGCAGATACAACGATATTATAAGCTGATACCCTCCAAAAGTTTCACAAAATCCCTCGTTCCGTGGCGAGTTCCGTGCGTGTACACTATAATGCACTTCCGATTTCCGCCCCTGAGAGTGCCCAATGATAAATATTGCCACAGCCCAACTATATTTGTTATAATTTCTTTGATTGGACAGCTTTCAACATCGGCGCCATATTGGGAAATTCGAGCCAATTGAAATGCGTGTATTAGGTCACTATTTCATTGACGATGACACGATACGTACCTATAAAATAGCCTTCTATATCGTTATGTATCTGTGATCGCACATAGCTGTCGATAGTTAATATAAATCTCACAGAATCACCACAAAAAATTATGAAAAATAGCAATAAACTCTTCACATTAGGCGTACACGTGTCAGAAAAAAAAGAAAATTATATAGTCGCAATTTTCGGTTCTTCATTCAGCCACATCCTCGATAGTATAGTGGTAAGTATCTCCGCCTGTCACGCGGAAGACCGGGGTTCAATTCCCCGTCGGGGAGGTTCATTTTTTTCCCATTTTTTTTTTAGTTTTTTTTCATTCGCTTTTTTGCTATTTTACTTTACCTACTAACCATATTTATACATAACTTCATTTTTTCTTACTTCAGTTATCACTTAAAAAGACCCGGAAGTGAAGTGATAGGACATTATTAGTTCATAAATCAATGACATTGTCGTCTCCAGTTATTTGAACTTGCTAAGCACACCAAAATTATAACCAATCAAACAGCAGATTGAATTATTCGAATATGTAAAAAATAAACATAGACAGAGTGACTGATATCAAATATCTAGAGTTAAATTGTGGATTCTTATCATATGTGAAAAAAACGCCATCTACCGGTAAATGCGCCATGGAGGACTTAAACACGGCGGACAGATTTGGGAGAACAATTCTACAAAGAAAATGAAACAACAACAAAAAAGTATTTTTCCTTTAAAAAAGCAATATGCATTAGAGATCTAATATGTATACGATCTGGATTCCTGTCGAACTGACGTTTCTTGCCTACACTGAACTTACATCGTTAAAATGTATCTTACTGTCCGAGGATGTGGGTATAAAGAGCATTTGCATATTTTTAAATCTGTATATACATTACCCTTTCATTAATTTGTATTTTGTTTTATTCATCCTGTCATAGGTAGTATGGCATGTGTCCAAAGGGAGTAAATTGGTCAAAATTTGGGGTTCTCAAAATTTTAATGGAGAATTTGCCATCATACCGGTTACGTACGATAATCGCATACGTGACGTATTCATACTGCCTCTAATAATTTTAAAAGTTAGAAACACTGTAACAAAACGACGTGTGAACACACAAATCAAGCTCCTATCAGTGAAAGATACAACACCTTTTTACTTTCGTATTATACCATAAATGCATTTTACCAGTTATATGAACACTATTCATGACTACTGGACGTGTAACCACTATATTGGTTTTAATTAAGTATTTCTCAAGGTATCGCATTTGTGCAAAATGTTTCCGACAGTTTTACATTTAAAATTTACTATGAAAATATTCTCAGTTGCCGCATCAGCACAGTGGTTAAAAACAAAATAAAATACATGTTATTTAATTGAGGGCGCTACATGCATATGGTGATTTCCAGTTAAGATTAATTTCACAACAAATTTACTTTCTGGATTAAAATAACAATGGATAACAAAAGATAGATTAACATTGTAAACAACAAAAACAATAGTGTCCCATGATTCTTTGGTGCGATCCATGGGATTGAGCGGTTCCCCTTTAAGTGCAATTTTTCATATTGTAAAAATACGTATCTGTCACGTATTGAAAAGAATGACCTCGCATGATGCTGTAATGCAATTACGCTTTTGTTAATTTAATTTTCTCTTTCTATATCTACAAAGGTCTCATATTCTGTCACTATTAGTTATGTATTCATTTTAATTCCTCTGTGAAAGGGTATGCATTTGAATAAAGTCTAAGTAATTTAATATTATTTAGCCCTGTCACCACAAGAACCAAATCGAATAAACGTTAACTAATTAGGTTCAGTTTAATTCACTCTCTGGCCCACTGTAATTAAAAAAAAAAAGTGTTTTTAAATCAGGTTTTATTATTTTTCACGGTGATCACAACAATCTGTGGGAGGTGTTCTGCACATGGGACAAAGTGTGGTAGCAACTTTAAAATATATTTACCAATAACACAAAATTATGAATTGACTGAAAGATAAGAAAAAAATTACTGGTACATAATACATTGTATCATACTTAAGTCAAAGTGAATGAACAATATTTAATTACGGTTATTGGATATTTTGTTGACAAACCATTTACTTTAAAAAAGGATGTATAAATATCAAAACGAAAAAAATACACAAATTATCCACACTGATTTTAGTTATTGTAAATAAGTAGATTTTTGGGGATGGTCACAATGTTGTGTTTAAATCATATTTTCACAATAATTTTATGATAATGTAATAAATATTGTACATCTGAGTTTATTTCCGGGTTGTCCACAGGTTGTACATGTACATACTATGGTTCAATGATTATTTTATTTTCATCTTTATTTTTCATCTTTATAAGTTCGATATACAAATCATAAACAATTACCAAAATTGAATTTGACAATGATACAGAAATCATTTTTACAAGACTTGAAAACCATATTTGCTTTATTTGAATTTAAATATCAAGAGAACAATATTTAAGAGACCAAACTAATTTTTTAAAAATTGATCTAAAAAAGGTAATTCTATATTGATATAATATACTAAAAATATTGAAATTCAAATGAAGTACCGGTATAACAAATTCAAGAAATTAAGGAACTTGTTAAACACAGAGACACGACCAGACTTTTATTTTGTTTATAAAATACTGGTAAACCAGTTTTTAGCAGGTTCATACAAACCTAACACCTGAATTGAACTCTGATATAATATACACAATGTGATATGAAATGGGTTTCACTATGACATGTTTAGATATAAATGCCAACTGATATAATTCCAATATATAATATAATATTAATAGGTGCAAAAGGTGAAGAAAGACATAGTTAGAAAAAGTATATGTGTCTTGAAACGAAAGTTTTTTATTTCGCCTATTATCTTTCTTTTTTATATTATTTTTTTTTTTGCAATAAATTTTATTTTTTATGGCTTGTTAAATTTCTTCTTGTGTTTTATGTGATCTGTTTTTGTAGTTTTAAAAATCCAATGCCTCAAAACTCACTTGTCAGTGTCTGTAGTTATCACAGGTAGCTATGCTCACAGAAATCACAATGTACCAATGAAAAGAGAATGTCATCATAATAACAACAATGATCTCCCATATTCAATTTATTGTAATAAAAAACAAGTATTTTGTATAGAATTTACTTCACTGGTTTTTGACGAGTTGAATGTAAAATACAGAAAAAAAAAGTTTATTCGCTGGATTTTATTTTCACTGAATCATTCCTTCTGTGAATATAGCGAAAATTAATTCCAAGCGAAAATAAAGTATTTTACAGTATATCAAAATATAACATTCCAGTAGTTGTAAACCGCATCATTAAAATACTATGAGGTAATTAGGAGAATACTGCAAAGTATGCATATATGCGACTGCGTTCTGTCTGAGTAAGTTTTATGGCCAAATTCAGTAATATAATTATTACAATCATTAAGAAGTCTGAAATATTCCTGAAAATATTTAAAATAATATTTTATGAAAGTATGAAAATGTAAATAAAAAAAAAACCCTTGTTCGTATTTTTGTTGTGAAACATCGAAAATTGTGTTGAACTTGGTAGAAGCGCTGGTGATATTTCCGGTTGGTTTGAACACGTATTGTTGGTAATCTTCTTTATATACAAATATAGATTCACTTTACAGGCATAGCGTACACCTCAGGAACTGTGTCAAAAACAGAAAATAACATTTCTTAAGTTATAAGAGTATGGATACATAAGAAGATGAATAAAAATAAAAGACAAGCAGCCTGAGATAGCTCCGCTGTTAGCAATGCACATTTTAATTAAAGAACAGAAGATATCATTAGAAAATGAACAATATGTATAAGTACATTATATCAAAGCAACGGACCTTGCTGTTTTCAACAAGAATTCAAAAATATCACTTTTCACCAAAAATGACAAAAATAATCATCAAAAAATCAAGTAATTGAAGATATCACAAAGAAATTAACAAGGACCACATGTAATACCTATATATGTAATATAAAAGCAATCAGACTTGCGGTTTTTAACAAGAAGTCAAAAATATCACTTTTTACCAAATATATTCACCAAAATTAGAGAATTAAAGATATCATTACAAAATGAACAAATCTGAGAGAGGTCCACATGTAGTACCTATATATGTAATATCAAAGCAATTGGACTTGCGGTTTTTAACAAGAAGTCGAAAATATCACTTTTTACCAAAAATGTCAAAAATATTCAAATACAGTAGCTGGATTTATAGTAAAGCATCTATATGACATGTGATTAATCATTATACCTATTTATTAATCAAATACTTTTTATCTCAGACCTGTAATTGCTTTTTGGCGGTAATAGGGTAATTAGTATGAAATAGTACAAAGTAATGCATCAAAATAAATTTGTATTTTGGCAGGGTTAAAAAGTTTTTTTTTTTTTTTTTTTTCAAATGTATAAACAGCATAAAATATACATTTTATTAACTTTAATTTACAAGTTATGACATTTATAGTTTTAATCAATAGGCAAGCTTAGACAACTGTATATATAACAAGCAGCCGGTCGGCTGAGATAG